GCGCCTTGGGCGGGAGGAGGGCGCCTGCGCGGTCGGCCACGCGGATCCTTCCGGCGGTGAAAGGGACGTTGTGTGGGCGCGGGGGTCCGGGCCCCCGCGGTTGCCGCCGACGGGCCCCAGAAGGGCGGGGCGGGCCGTTTTCCTCCAGGCGGCTGCGAGGGCGCAGAAAAGTCCCTCCTCACCGCCACCTTTTCCCTCAGCGCTTCCTGGTGTCGAGCGGAGGGGGAGGTGCCGTGCGCGCACACTCTCTCTGTCGGGTACTGAGCGGGTGTATACAAATTCATATACACACAGACACCCAGACACGCACGTGTGTCTGTGTAGCTTCAAAGCCAACGTGGTTGAAAATACGCGGCATTTTTCTTTGCTCTTCTCACCTTTCTGTTACGCAAGAAAAGCAAAGCATAAAGGTTTCGTCGCTGAAGCTTTTTTTTTTTGCTCGTCTGATTTGTGTCGCTGGGGATTTTTTACTTGCGGGCGTGGGACTATGGTGGATGCCAAGTCACAATCGCAACCACCACCGTCTTTCTCTTCTGTGCAAGAGGGGCGGCTGAACACGAAGGATTTGGAGGAGGCTCTTGACACTGTCTTTTCCCTGGGAAAGCCCCGCAGCGAGAATGGGTCGTTTGCCCTGTTTGAGTACATTGTTGGCGCGGGAAAAGCCATATTGAGCCCTTTGCAGTCACGACTGGAGTTCCAGAATTTTATGGAGAGTGACTTCGGAAAGCGTGCTTCTGCGCAGTTCGTGAGCTTTTTGGATGCGGACGGCGATGGACGTGTCACTCCGCGTGATTTCCAAGTGATGTATGACCGTGACCTGAAGAAACTCCTTCAACGCCATCGGCGCACGTTGGACGCTGCGCTTCCCTTTATTGGTCAGTGCGCCTTTGGCTTCACGATGGGGTTCGTCGTTGGCAGAGTGGCGCAACGCATGTACAAAAGCAAGATGCTTATCCTGACCTCCTCGTTTGTGCTCTACAGCGGGATTCAGTTGCTGGCGCAGATGAACTTTGTGAATCAGAATGTGCTTGAGGCCGCTTTCCGAGAAAAGGTCCGGCAACTCGCGGACGCCAACGGTGACGGGGAGATAAACCGAGAAGACTTGGATTTCCTGGTTGAGAACCGAATGCGGTACGTCGCCACAAAGTTGGGGCCCGGCGGCGTAGCCCCGGGAGTGGTGGGGTACGCGACGCTCGGCCTCGGCCTGTTGCGGGGAATGCGGCGATGCTAAAAAAAAGTATATGAGTGCGTGCATGTGGGAGTTCTCTTGCAGTGGCTGGTAGTTGTTGGTGGTGGGAGACGGGGACGGGGGCGGGGGCGCTGGGAAGTTGTCAGCGGGGGTTCGTCAATCCGCTTTCCCCTTTTTGCCGCTTCAGCTTCTTTTTTTTTTTTTTTCTCTCGCCAGTTAAAGGGGAATTGCCTCTGTGCAGGTGCGACTGTGTGTTGTTGCCACGCACGGCTCCTGACCCGCCGCGCCACGGCAGCAAGCGTGGATAAAAAGGGAAGGAAAAGGAAGGGAGAGAAACCAAGAGGAAAAAAGAAGAGAAAAACGGCATGCTTCGCGTTACTGCGTTGTGTATTGCTCGGGCCGTTATTAAGCGACGCACCCCACAATTGTGGGGGGCTCCTGGTGCGCCAATTATTCGCATGCGTGGCCACCACGTCGTGTGGAAGTTTCAGTCGTATGACCTTCTTGTAGAGCACACCCACAAGCGGCGCAACTCTGACGTCCGTCTGCTGCACTACCTCGGCAAGCACTGCCCGCACCCGCAAAAGTCGCTATGGTCGCCCGACACCCCTGTCGCGCAGGACAGGCACTTGTTCATGCTGACCACAGTTGACGTGGATGCGTTCAAGTACTGGTTCGGTGTGAAGCGATGCCGGCTGTCGGTGCGGCCGTGGGCCCTCCTTGCAAAGGCCGGCCTGCTGCCACCGTCGCTGCGGCAGAACTCCAGGATAATGCCCAAACCACTCTTTGACAAGGAGCAACTTATGCGGTACTACCTCGCCAACCGGAAAGAAGAGGCCACCGTCGCACGGGAGGAGTACTTGAACTACAAGAATAGTCTGGTAAAGTCAGAGGAGGAGCGGGCGGCAGAGCGGCCCGTGGCACCGTATCTTTAAATGAAACCAGTAGAATAGCCAAGTGCGCGGGCGCCCAATTGCTGGAAGAGGAATTTGCGCGTGTTCCTGTAGTGGGGAAACGTCGAAGGATGCGTTTGCAGTAGTCCTCTGCCTGCTTGTTCCTGTCCATGAGGGAACCTCAGTTGCGTAGATGGCGGTGGTGTCGGGCGGAGCTTCTTTCAGGCAGAGAGGGAGCGTCCGTGTGTGTGTGTGTGTGCGTGCTGGAACGAGAGGCAGCGAGGGGTTTGAGGTGGTGGTGGTGGGGAGGATGTAACGTTACTGTTGACTCTGCTTGATTCCTTTGTTTCCTTGCCTACCCCGTGAAGACTGCTGTGTGCCGTTTTATTTTACTTTTTTGCGCACTCTCTGTCTCCTTCGGTGTGCCACTACGAAAGTTCAACCAACCCGCACGGCTTGTGATTGTTTATTTATTCTTCTCTTCGACACATTTCCAGCGCGATAGCGACAGCGTGTGGGTGAGAGCAGCATAAAGTTCCGAAGGAGTTGGCGGAGGGGAGCAATTGCCGTTGCCCCCGTCCCATACATTTATTAGCGGACACGCGAACAGGCGTGCCCCCTCGGCGTGTGTCACGATGGAGTCCCCGATCAATCCGGCGGTGTGGAAGTTTCTCTTCCACGGCACTGTTGCCACCCTTTCCACCGCCTGCCTTTTCTCGCTTTACCACGAGCGACACCGTGTGCTTTCCTCGCTTGACGCCCCCTTCAGAGTTCTCCGGAGCGCCAAGACGGACGAGGAACGCGTCGCAGCGGCGGAGGACATTCTTAAGAAGCTAAAAGGGGACGCCGCGCAGAAGAAGGATTCCTCACGGCTGTCTGCACAGCGGCAAGGGGGGGCTTTGCTGCGGCTCGCCGCCCTCAACAAGGACGGCTCAAATGCGGAGGGGGTGAGCCTGGCTATCAAGACCATCGTTTGCGCCTTCGGGGCCGATGCGGAGGGTTGCCGAAAGCTGTACATGCTGGGTGGCTACCGCGTGCTGCTAACGACACTCAGCGAGGCGCATCGTCAGGGAAGGCAGGAGCTTATGGAGGAAGTAGCGCAGGCGTTGCAAACACTCACACACGTCAACGACGCCGAGGTGGTGTTGGCGACCGACGTGCCAGTGGGCGCGGAGGGCGCCTACGCACTGGCCTGCATCCCCGCGACAGTGAAGATGCTGCGACTTCTTGACCCGCAGAGTCCTATCCTCTTCCTGAATGCCCTGACAGGCATCTTTGCAAATGTCTGTGCGTTGCGCGTGGGTGCATTGGCGGTGGGGCGCGGTGTGGAGGGGCGCAGTGGGATGTCGTACTTCCTCCGCCTGCTGGAGCACGGCAATCAAGGTGTGGTGGAGCACTGCACCCTCAGCATTCGCTACCTTGCCCGCGCCGGGCTTGGCCACGAGGAACTCGCGGAGGAGGGCAACCTGCAACGCCTCGCGGAAAACCTCACCGTGAACGCGGACCCACGCGTCACGAACTCCATTCTTACCATTATCTTGCTCATGTGCGACAGCAAGCACGGCGCCGAGTTTTTCACGTGTCTGTCGGAGAAAACCGACATCATTTCTAGCCTCTTTGAGGTCTGGTGTCGCGCCTCGGAAAAGCTGCTGCGAGACCGGGCTGAAATGCTGGTGCAGCTCCTCGCCCGCGTGCCGCAGTGCACCGCCGCGGTGCGGCGCTTCCTCGAGCGGTACCGCGTGCAAATTGCTGAGCGCCGCGCGAAGGATGATGAGGCGCGCCGCAAACAGCTGCAGCAGATGCGGCAAAACCAAATGATGCAGCAGATGATGATGGAGAACATGGGCATGGGCATGGGCGGCGGCGGCGGCATGTGGTGATGGCGGGGCGGCGGCGATGAGGCGTTGCCCCGCCACCCCCCCCCCCCTCCTCTCCAGCGCGCGGGGGTGGCCGCCCGGTTTCTTCCGCTGCGTGTGTCGCCTCACGGCCGCCGTTGCCGCAGCGGGAGACGCACACGCATGCAGAAGCAAAGACACAAAATCAGAAATGAAAGCAAATACATGCGGGGAGAAAAACAAAAGCCACACACACGCACGCAAACAAACACACAAAAAAATCAACAAAAAAAAAGAAAAAAAAGCGAGAGGAAGTGGGAGCTCACCACACACGCATACACATGCAGAGGCAGCAAAGCAAACGATGAAGAAAAAAAAAAAAGAGAACAAAAACAACAAAAAAAATAGAAAAAAAAAAGATGTTGTGTGCGCGGCAGCTGCCGCCGCTGCGGATGTTGTGGCTTCATTTCTTTCTTTCCTCTACTTATTAAGCCGGCGCGTAACGCGTTTATCTTGTAAGGCAATAACGTACATGAGCACAAAACAGACGCTTTGGAAGAGGAGGAGAGCGAGGGGGGAAGCGTGCAATGTTGTTGTTGTTTTGTATGTCAGTGTGTGTGTGTGTGTGTGTGTGTGTGTGTGTTGGGGAACGGGGGGTAGTGGGGGGAGCGCCCGTCCCTCTCCCACTCACACACACAGACACACATACATACATGCGGAGAGACAATGAAACGAAGCGCCCGTATGGGACGAAATGCTGTTTCTTTCCACACCCTCTTCTGTGCCCCCTCACTGCATGCCGGCGTAAGCGGTGCCACACATGGCGTTTGCGGGCGCAACTACTGCGCAGTTGGAACCACCCGAAAATGGAAAGGGAAGCGAAAAGGTAGAGGACCCCATGAGCCGCAGCGTTGATTCTGCGGAGGACGGGTCCCCATCTAATGACCAGGCGGAAGAGACATCGATGTCGTTGGAGGAGCGTGAGGCGCGTTGGGGGTTTACCCTTGACGAACTGCACGTCGCCACCAAAGTGGTGCGCACGCTTTTTCACAATCCCTCGCTCTTTGTTGGGGACGCGTACCTCCACGAGAGTCGGCTGTACACCATGATCACCCGTGACCGCAAGACGAAGCGCGAAAACCGTGAGGTGTACAAAATGATCATGAATGAGGAGAAAAGCCGGCGAAAGCGGTTTAAACGCATGCAGGACATTGAGGCCATACGACGCACGGAAATGAAGCGAGAGCGGGAAGAGGCTCTTACGGCGCTGATGCAGCGGCCGACGAAACCGCTGCTGATGATTGCAGGACCGGCGGCGTCACAACTCCCTGTCGAGCCCCCGGAAAGCGCCCAGGAGGATGCGTTTGACGAGGCCCCTTCTGCGGCGAATGACCCCAATCCCTGCACTGCCACTGACCGACAGATCATCATGTTGATCGGCGCCTTTGAGAACGTGATCCGTCTGGAAGAGGCTTATGACGCTAATCCCACCGCACCAGAGTGGCTGAAAATTTCGCAGCTGGTGGCACAGGTCTATCGCTACTTGCCACACGCCTTTGGGTCACAAATGCCGCCCGCGTTATTGCGCGGTGCCGTTCCCGCAGGGACGCCGCCTGAGCAGCGAGAAAAATACACGGCATTTGTGAAGCTACGCATCGCAGAGCTCTGTGACGAATTGTTTACGTTGGGGGAGACTGACGAAAATGATGGGAATGAGGAGAACAGCACTGACGCGGGTGGGAGCAACGCTGGTAAAGGAAATGTGTTCCCTCCCTCTGAGGATGTGCTCGTGGCGGAATCCGCCTTGCTTCGAAGCGTACCACGTCTGCGGCAGTGCGGCGATTTCAAATATGTGCCGGATGAACTTCGCTCTGCTCTTCAGCACGTCGTGCCGACGACGGACGTCTTGCACTCCTTGAAGCTTGTGCTGGCTGAGGGCGCCGTTGATAATCGGTTTGTGCCACGGGATGCGAAGGTGGCACCGACGTTGTCGGCGGAGGCCTCGTTAAATCTTTTCATTGCCAGGCGACTCTACGCGCGGAGGCGGGTGCGAGAGTGGGGGGAGTCTCCTTTTACAGTTCGAACTCGCCCACCGATATCCGAGGACGAGGAGCCTGATAGCTACTGCGTGTTCGACGATGTGCAGGTTTACAATGCCGGTCGATCCTTCCCGTCTGACGAGGCCCTTCAGTTAAACCGATGGATCGGATGTCACACTTGCCGCGTGCGGTATAACAAGTTGCACCCCTATTACTACAGCCTTTGTCACCTCTGTGGGGAATACAACTTCAATAAGCGACTACTCACGCGGGACCTGCGCGGCAAAGTTGTGCTGCTCACTGGCTGCCGCATCAAGATTGGTTTTGCGATGGCGCTTTCCCTCCTGCGCTGTGGGGCTCAACTGGTGGGTACCACTCGGTTTGTGCATGAGGCACTGGCACGGTTTCAGCGGGAGCCTGATTATGCCGAGTGGGGCGACCGACTGCACCTCTTCGCCCTTGACCTCCGTGACCTTTGGCTGGTGACGCAGTTTTGCGCCTTTCTGCGGCAGCGGTTCCCCAAAATCTTTGCAGTCATCAACAACGCAGCGCAAACAATCGCGCGCACAAAGGAGTACACGGCCAAAGTCCGCCATTTTGAGGCGTTCCCGCCGCAAGAGCTGCATCGCCGTCTTTGCGAGGACGCAACGTCGGGAGAGTGGCATCATTTTTTTCTCACCCACACTTCTGTGACGATTGGAGAACCCCTTCGCATCGAGCACCATCCCCACGAGCAGCCGTTTCTGGACGACGCGGCAAACAAGACGAACGGCAACCACGCGAGCCCCGACGAGGAGCAGGCGGGACGTGAAGCGTCGTGGTCATTAGCTGCCACAGCCACCGCCGCCTCCGCCCACGCACTTGCTTTTGACCGCTACGACACCCAGGCAGAGGAAAGTGATACGCGGGAGGCGAACTCGTGGGTGATGCGGTTGGGCGAGGTGCCGGGAAGCGAGGCGGCGGAGCTCATGGCCATCAACGCCCTCTCGCCGCTTATCATTAACAGCAAACTAAAACCCTGTCTGCTGAATCGGGAGGGCGACGCGGTGCCAAATGAGGAACGTTTTATCATCAACGTCTCGGCCATGGAAGGTCAGTTCTACCGGTTCAAGCAGGTGACGCACCCACACACGAACATGGCGAAAGCCGCCCTTAATATGATGACCCGGACGAGCGGTGAGGACTACGCTCAGGAGGGAATCTTCATGAACTCCGTAGACACGGGGTGGATCACCGATGAGTCACCCAAGGCGAAGAAGGAACGGCGGGCGGAGCAGTCGCTGCTGTGCCCACTGGATGAGATTGATGCCGCCGCACGCTGCCTGGATCTCATCTACACAAACAGCAGGGAGTATGGCAAGTTTTTCAAGGACTTTAAGGAAATACCGTGGTAAGGGGAGTTGCGGCTCACCGAGTTCCATTCTCCGTGGAACGTAACACGAAATAAAGTTGCCTCCACCCACCAAGGTGGGGTATTAAAAGGCTTGCAAAAGTGTGCCGTTGATGGAGGAGGTGTGACGCTCTGCAATGTTGAAAACTCCATTACTTTTTTTTCTTTTTTTGAGTTTGGCTCCATAACATTTCCGCCACTCTCTCCACCTGCTTCGCGCTTTTGTCACATACACATCTAGCTAGCCCTAGAGGGAAATTGACAGGGCGTGGGACGGCCACGGACTGCACAGGAAGTTCAGGCTGCCTCCTCCTCTTCCTCTAATGTGCCGCACGAGACCCACCGACAGCAGCGTCGCAATCCAATCGGTTCCCCACGCCGATTTCGCCAATATACGGCAAAAAAAGACGAAGAACAGTTTTTGCCCTACGCATTCACAAGCCACGATGACCCAAACGCAACGCGACATGAACAAGGCCAACGGACATATGGAGCAAACGGTGAAAAATTGAGTTGTATTCCTCTGAGATATCTCTCATTCCAAGGAAAAACCTAAAAGATAGATGCGGATTTTGCTATTTGCGCCATGCCGTTAGCGACGGGCGATAAATACATTAATATTTTTTATGCTAAATGCATTAGACAATGCAGACACAGTAAAAAGAAGCCATTGCTGAAAAAAGGGTTAAAAGCACGCCTATGCGATGCTCACAACTCCCCGCCCTCGGGGCCAGAGTATGGAGCACACGACAGCTTAGCTTTTTATTGGGGCAGTGCGGCCGCCACCGTTGGCTCCACTTCCCTTGCGCTTCTTGCCGTGGCCACCGCCGCGGTGGCGATGCTGCCGCTTTGAGCAGCCGCCGTGATTGGGGACAGGCACCGTGCGTCAGGGCTCAGAAGAAAAAAGAAAAAAAAAGAGAAAAGCGTGCGTCGCCTTCCCATGGAGCCCCGCACTCAAGCTGCGCGGAGCGTCAGTAATATTGCGCACACTCCACCCCCCCCCCCCTTTTTTTTTTTCAAGGACGGACACTAACATTTCTTGCTTTGCTTTGCCCACTGTTCGTGGCAATCGTAATGTTTGGGCGTTGAGAGGACTTTATTTGTGTGAAAACGGCGTGGGAAGAAAATGACTTGAGCGGAAGGGGCTAATTCCAGCACCGCATGCATGCATGCGTCGGCTGATGCGGGCAGGACGAGGGACAAGTGGTATACTCTAACGGGAGCGGGAGCAGGTGGGTGCCTGTCCCGCTGATGGACAGGGACGACTGCACTTGCTGCCGAATTTATTACA